CATCTTCACCACCTGTCTCACATCATCACCACCTGTCTCATCATCAGCACCTGACTCATCATCACCACCTGTCTCATCATCACCACCTGTCTCACACCTTCACCACCTGTCTCATCATCACCACCTGTCTCACACCTTCACCACCTGTCTCACATCATCACCACCTGTCTCATCATCACCACCTGTCTCACATCTTCACCACCTGTCACATTAAACTGAATCATATTAAATCACTAAATTGAATCAGTGAGATGACGACAGTAGAGCAGAGAAACACACCTGAAAGAGAAGCTTGTTAATCAATCAATCAATCAATCAATCAATTAATCAATTAATCAATTAATCAATCAATCAGGTATTAGTGAGCTCAGTTAGGAGTGAGGACAGACCGCTGCTCGACCAGCACTGATGATGTCATGATGACGTTTTTTGTTGAAGTATAGCTGTTGTCACGGTGACAGTAAGAACAGATGTTACTCGTCGATCCAGAACATCCTGATAACACTCATACTTAGACAGGAGTTAACATTCAGCTGATGTTCACTTCTTTACATTCACATCAGCTACGCTCTGCAAGGCATCATGGGTAAAGGAGGGGAGGACTCCTGGGAGATCTGGTTGGCTGCTGCAGTGTGACTGACAGGTGTCAGGGGACCACCAGAGCCAATCAGCATCTGGTGTCATTAGCCACCAGAACTGTGCTTCAATAAAAGCTGATTAAAGCCAAGTGTGTGTGTGTGTGTGTGTGTGTGTGTGTGCGTGTGTGTGTTTCAGCTTGTTTAGCTATCGTGTTTAACGGCTCTCTGGATGCCCATACAGTCCTAGTCATTAGCCTTGTGTTAGCCTAGCATTAGCAAAGGGCAGCGTGTGTGTGTGTGTGTGTGTGCGAGGACAAGGACATCAGGTCATCCTGTCGTTGGAGGACGGAGTGAGGGACAGGTGTCGGGAACTTACAGCCATCTGTTGGTCATTATAGTTCTGGATGGGACCAGCATGCTAACCATTAGCCTAGCACTCCAACAGCTAACTGCCATCTGTGTCTCATTACTCAGAACAGCCTGTTAGCTAGTGGCTAATTTAGGTTTAAAATCTAGTCCAGCAGAAACCAGGTCCACACAGCTAACTGTGCTAATGCTAACAGAGCAACACTCAATGTACGAAATCTAAATAAAATGTTATGAATTCATAAACAAATGTGTGTCTA